ACACACACACAGAACACTCACCAAGATGTTGAGCTATAAAACAAGTCTCAAGGTTGAAATATATTTTCTTTTTTGGAGAGGTTTTCATTATAGGGCGCGTGTGATCACCAGACAGACAGAGACATAGAGACAGAAAGCGAGAAATCACCCCCCAGGGGGGGATGGTCACGCCGCAATCCTTTCTCCTCCATTCTCCTCTCGGGATCTTGGGCACGCACGCACACGCGCCCAGCGTGAGTTTTAAGCCACCGGGTCTGGGAGGCGAACTGCAGTCGACTACATGGGAGTCCAGTGACATAGCCATTATGCTAACTGCTGGTTCCCAAGGCTGAAATATATTTTCTTTGACCACAATGGAATTAAGTCAAACCAAAAACAGAAAGATATCCAGAGAAGCCTGAATTATTTCAACACTAAATAATAACTTCAAAATAGCCTGTGAGTTAAGGTCCACAGGCGGCATACTGATTAAGGTGCTGGACTTCCACATAGCCAACCACAGTTCCAGTCCCGGACTTAGCAACTTGAAAATTACACCAGGTACATGTGTCTATGTGCCCAATGGCAAGAGGAGAATGGAGAAGAAGGGATTGTGGCATGGCCATCCCTCACATCTCCAGGGAGTGATTTTTCACTTTCTCCCCTCTCTGTCTCTTTTGCATGAGTGCACTCACCCTATGGCAAGACCTAAAAAGGCAACAAAAGCAAAACAACCTGCAAGTCAAATTAGAATTCACAAGGGAAATTGCAGTATATCTGGAACAGACCTATTTTAAGAATGACATTCTCGGGACCAGCAGTTGGCATAATGGCTATATCGCTGGACTCCCATGTAGTCGACTGTGGTTTAAGTCCCAGACCCGTGGCTTAAACTTATGCCAGGTGTGTGTGCATGCTTGCCCAAGATCCCAAGAGGAGAATGGAAGAGAAGGGATTGTGGTGTAGCCATCCCCCTAGGGGGGTGATTTCTCACTTTGTCTCTTTGTCTCTCTCTTTCTGGTGATCACACCTATAGCAAAAACTTCTCCAGAAAAAAAAAAAAAAGAATTAAAAAAAAAGAATGGCATTCTCTGGTGGAATGGTGGAAACTAATTTTCCTTGAAACTTGTCTTGCCTTAATGACTTGCTTGGCCAACAGATAGGGCAAAACTGGCATTTTGGAACCACAGAGGAGAGACTACAAAAAGTCATGCAGATTCACTGGTGACTCTTGGAAAACTCATTTGGAGAAAGCTACTAACAGTTACTAGGTAGGAGACACAACTACCCTGGGAATCCATGGCGGAGGATCACACGGAAAAATCCTGAGTCGGTATGCTTGATTGACAGCCCCCAGCAAGTCTCCAGCACCCACTGCCAGCCTTCTTAGACACCATTCCAGCTATGCTCACTGTGGCTGTAGAGCCCCCCACCCCTACTTGATCTGCAGCCATCTTGGACTTGACCAAAACATTGGTGGAGCTGCTAGAGCCAGCTTTGTACACCTGGAAGCATGCTGCCAGCCTTCTGGCAGCATATCAGCTTCTCCTTGACAGAACACTCATTGAATGCACAGCTTGAGTTGACCCTTCCCCAACCCTGGGCCTGGTCATATAAGCAATTAAAATAAAAGTTGCCAAGAAGATATATGTACTTGCCATAGAGAGACGGATTAATAGAGAGGGAGAAAGCACCTTCCAATGGGGTGTGGTTACACTGCAATCCCTTCTCCATTTCTTCATCCTGTTGGGATTTGGGGCACACACACACACACCCCTGGAGTGTTTTTCAAGCTGCTGGGGCCAGCATTCAAACCACAGTTGACCATGTGGTTTCCAGTTCCCTTAACCACTAATCCATGGGGCTGGCTGGACAAATTATTTTACAAAAGTGTGTCATTGAGAGAGAGAGAGAAGCACCCTCAATAGTCTCATGCTGTGATCCCCCATCTCCGGCCTTTCAGTCAGCCAGGATCGCAGTCAGGTGTGCACATCTTCCTTACACAGTGTGTACAAGTGCATGCTTGTTAACTTCATAATCTGCACTCTGTATGGGCTGGTTTCTGTTCTTTCATGTTTTTCTTGGATTTGTTCATGTGTTTGTATTGCCCTTGTGTAATACACATCATACATGAAAAAAGGAGAGAAATAATTTGAGGTCTCAAATGATGTTTTATTCCTCTGGAAAGAAGTAATGAAAACACAGTACCCTAGATTGCCTTAATACAATTTGTTTTAAATTGCTCATGGGCATGTGCTCACTGGGGGCACAGGGTTGGGAGGGAGAGATAGAATGTAAGAAAGCATTCCCCCATGTCAGGTGGCCACACTACAATCCCTTCTCCATTCTCCTCTAGGGGTTTTGGGCATGCACGTATATATGCCTGGTGTGTTTTCCAAGCTGCTGTTATCTGGGACTTGAACTGCATAGTTGGCCAAGTGGGATCTAGCTGCATTAACCACCACAACACTGCCTGGCCCAACCAAGACTTTTTAATTAATTTTTAAAAAATTCATGATTGAGCATGTGTGCATGCAAGAGAGAGATAGAGAGAGAGAGATGCACCCTCCATGGGATCTGGTCACACCACAGTTCCCTTCCTTCCTCTTCCAGTTTGCTAGATCTTTTTTTTTTTTCACTTCCTTTTTTTTTTTTTTTTTTTTTAAGAGGTTTTTTTTTTTGGTGTTGGGGGATTCCCCGCTATAGGGTGCGTGCGCTCGCCAGACAGAGAGAGACAGAGAGACAGAAAGCGAGAAATCACCCCCCCAGGGGTGATGGCCATGTCACAATCCCTTCTCCTCCATTCTCCTCTTGGGATTCTGGGCACGTACGCACACATGAGTTTAAGCCACCGGGTCCGGTACTCAAACCACGGTCAACTACATGGGAGTCCAGCGACACAGCCATTACGCCAACTGCTGGTCTCCAGTTTGCTAGATCTTGGGCACTCTAGTACATGCCCAGTCTGTTTCAGGCTGACTGGGGAAAGAATTTAACCACAGTGACTATGTGGGATCCACTTTTCTGAGCAGTGCATGACTAGTGTGCTGTGGAGCTGGCTCTGTAATTAGGATTTCATGTGATTTGAAGCTGAACTTCAGTTCCTAAAAGTTTTGGTCTTTTTGCCCAGTTTGGCTTTTTTTCCCCAGAGTACAGCATTTTGGGGGTTTATTAGCACTACCCTCTCCTTGGTAGTCTCAGGATATTAACTTATTCCTTTGCCATTGGTCTACCAAGAGCTTTGCTCATAGCTGAGTCTTCAAATGCCCGTTTTAGGTAGGCAGATGCTCGCAGGGGAAAAGTAACCTCAATAGCCACGCTCACCTTTCTAGAATTCTTCACCTTAGACCATGACTCCATTATTCTTCATTCTCTTGTGAGTTAACAATGTTTTTACTTTTTGTTCATCTAGCCTTTCTAATTAGAATGACCTAGGCTATCACTGCAGAAGAAAAAATCCAGAGCGGCCTTCTTGCAAGTAGATAAGTCTTAGTTTAAAAACTGTTAAGATTATTCGGTGGCTTTTGTGGTTGATTCTTTTGGTTGCCTGCTCAATAACCAGTGACTTCCGATCATAGACCATTATCGTGTTGCTAACAGAAATTCCTGAGGCTGGGTAAATTTATAAGAGGGGTTTAATGACTAACAGTTCTAGTGGCTAAAAAGTCCACAGGCATTACGAAATCACACAAGGCAGAACTGTCAGCACAGTGGAGTGTGGTCTGTATCTGCATGATCTTTCTGATGCCCTAGTCTCATTCCCACTGCTATAAACCCTACCAGAACTCAATCATGGAGTCCTAATTACATGATCACATTCAAAAGCCCTACGCTGGGACATCATGCAGGAACTACATTTTCACTTATCACCTTCACAATACAATCAATATAATTTACAGTACAATCACCACATCTCAACACATGAATTTCTGGGGGACATTCAGTCATCGCCCACTAAAACCAAATTCCAAAACATGAAGCTTTCAGGGACAAGCCATTATCCAAACTATAACACTTTTCTTCCTCATTTGTAACAGAATTCCTTTTTTTCCCCCAGGTATTTTTGATAGCTTTGTAGTATGTCAACTTGGCAGAACCATGGCTCCCAGAATTCTCTGCCTTGCAGATTTCCTAGCTAAGCCATGAGATGCATTCTGTGTGAGATTTGGGGGATGAAGTGAAGTGGCAGTCATACTGTTTTTAAACTTGAAAGGTTAGTGCAGGGGCCTCGAGCACAGCTGCAGATAAGATTTAACCTGTAAAATAGCACCGGCCTCACCCCATGGTGGCACTGTGAATTATACTCTCACCACCACGATATTCTACCTGACTGAAAAGGAGTCCGAAACCCACTGTGGTGACCTCATTTGTTAATGACAGGCCTGGGTAATTGAAGCATTTCTGGCCAAGGGGATCTTAGGGGCCATGTGCTGGGAGTCTTCTGGAAAAGATGCTACCTTGCTGATAAAAGGAGACAAGTAGGGAGAACAGCCTCGTCTACTGGATGACCGTGTCTGTGAGACAGCTATAATTGTGACAGCCTTTCTGTGACACGAGAAGATAATAGGTCTACCTGCTGGAGGTGGCTGCTAAGAAATGGGAAGAACGTTCAAGTTCTTGACAAAGAACATGACACTGTCCCAACTCCTCCCTCTTGTCAAGTGAAATTCGCATTTTTGCCAGTCCAAGTCCTTGAGAACCGCAGGCTCTCCCACGTTCCGCAGCCCAGGCCACATCTGCGAATACAGCGGCACTTCCCATTCCTAGATCCGTCCGTCCGGGTCGAGGCATACAGGGTCCGGTCGTCTGGAATGCTCTTTTCTTCCCAGTGCTTCTTCAGGAAAGTCTTTCCCCAGCCCTCTGTCGGAATCCGTCCACCCTTCCCGCCCTCTCGCAGACCCTTACCAGCCATCGACAAGCACCGGGTGCACAGCACCTCTGCGCGCCCTCCTAAGGCTTGGCGCCTGCGAGCTGCCATACAGCCGGTGTCTCCATGGCGACCGCGTGGGTCAGGTGGCTTCTATTGTTGGGTTTTTCCTTTCGGCCGCAATAGGGCTTTCCCGCGTGCTAGTGGGAGGGGGGCCCACAGGTGAGGCTGGGGCCGCGAGGTCCAGGGCACCGGGATCGGGGACCCAGGACTGGGGGCCGCGGAGAGGAGCGGTGGGACTGGGGACATTGGGCCGGAGGGGCGGGCGGTGGGGGGCAGGATGCAGGGCGAGGGCGTCAGGCTGTAAAGGGGGCGGAGAAGTTAGGGCGGGCAGGCAGCAGAAGGAAGACTTGTGTCCCTGTCCCTGCTGGTGTCCAGGTGGTGCCAGCGAAGGCCGCACCCTTTCAGACTGCAAATGTGAGGCCCAAAGCGTTGGGTTTCCCCCACCATGCCAGAATAGGGAAATCGAGGCATAAATCCCAACAACCTAACATTTTAATATGTGTGTGTGGGTTTGGAGAGGTTTTTGCTATAGGGCGCCTGCGCTCGCCAGAAAGACAGAGACAGAGAGTTAGAAAGTGGGAAATCACCCCCCAGGGAGGATGGCCACACTGCAATCCCTTCTCCTCCATTCTCCTCTAGGGATCTTGGAGAGATCGCACGCGCGCTCGTGAGTTTAACCCACCAGTCCGGGACTCAAACCGCGATCCACTACATGGGAGTCCAGCGACATAGCCATTATGCTAACTGCTGGTCCCACATTTTGATGTGTTTTAACATTCCTGCCTTGGTCCCAAGAGTTTTAGGTTGAGTGCAAATGTTACTGAACAACTAAAATTCCAGATTCTATTTAAGCAAGTCCTCCCCCTTCCCCTCCCCCGCCCCTCCCACCTGGTACTAGCCAGAGCTAGTGCTGGTCACTGGGCCAAAATGTTAACAAATGGCAGTATGCCTGGCTTTCGGGAGCTTAGAACAGTTCAAATGGCACAGAACCACAGCAAATAGGAAAACAGGGTGAACTTATGAGACCTCATCCTTGAACAGGATTTTACTATTCGAGTCCCTCAAACTATATAGTCAACTACATGAGAGTCCAGCAGCGTAACCATTACGCCATCTGCTGGTCCCGATATTTTGCTAAATTTTAATACTTCTGCCTTGGCCCAGAGAGTAGCGAGGACTACAGATGTGTATCCCCTGGCTTTTAGGCTGGGCAATAAAATAACTTAGGTTTCCCATGTGCCTTCAGCCTGGCAAGTAGCCAAGTCTACTAGCAGAAGCTACATTGGCTGGGCCCATGCTTATTTTATGGAAGATTAAAGTGGTTTACAGACAAAATATTCTGATCTGTTTTCATCCTTAAAAGAATCATTCCTGAACCAACAGGTGGCGGAGAGATTAAGGCAGCTGGATCCTAAATGGCCAACTTTGTGCTTTGAATCCTGGACCTGGCAGCTTGAAAATTATGCACAGTGTGTGTGTGTGTGGGGGGTGTGTGCCCAAAATCCCAACTGGAGAATGGAGAAGGCACGGTCATCCCTTTTTGGGGTCTCTTTCTCTCCTTGCAAGCACACGCATTCATAGCAAACAAAAAAGGAAGTTCCAGTATGCATTTCTGCCTTTTCCAGGAGTTAAAAGTTAAATCTCATAACTCCATTGTATAAAGTGAGGAGCAGAGGATCTTTATCAGAATAGTCTTATATTCCAGTTTTTTACAACTTCAAAAGTCTGTTTGTGATACTGTATATTAAAAAGTATGGCTTTTTAAGCAACTTAAATCGCTGTGGATGCACTGTTGCATTTTGCCTGTGTGAATGTGTCAGTATAACCGGCTGTTGGCTGCCTCTCCCTTCCTGTGTTTCCAGATCTCCAGACCAAGGAGGATGAGCAGGGCTCACTGGAGGATGACATATGGAGGACAGCCGCTCCTGCAGAGTTCCCTCGGGGGCTGCTGATAACCCAGAGGAGGCTGCTGATCAAGCTAGGAGTTTGCCTGCCTTCCCCTCCAAAAATGTTCACAAGGATGTTGAGAGAATCACTTTTGCTTCCTCGCAGATTTTAGACTTGAGTCACAGTGGCCTGCGCCATTTGGGAGAAATCTCTAAAACCCCCAACCTTCAAGTAAGTAGGGCTGTTCTTCAGTATGTTTGTATGAAGGTGCTGCGTAGACAGAAATGGAAAATTCACCCCCTGAGCTTTTACTCATACACTTTCTCTTTAGAAGAAAATATTTCTAGAATGAAATAAAGGAGGGTTAATTTGGGCTTTTATATGCTGATCACAATGAAATGAGAAGTTCATTTCGCTTCTTAAAAAGTCTCAGGAACAACAACAACAACAAACACATCTGTGGTTAAAAACTACTGCCAAAATAACTTTGGTCTCTTATTTCACACAGAAAACCTTTATAAAAACACCAGCCACTATGAAAATAGTTAAAACTGGCTTTCTCACCTACAACTTTGCTGATATTACTGATTTTACTTTGTGCCAGGTGACTCCTTCAGGTCAGTGGATACTGTCTTGCCCCTGTGATTTCTAGAGAAAGGTTCCATTAGAGCCCAGCTTTGATGACAGACAGTCACTGCCCTGAAGTCACAGAATTTCCTTAAACATCATTTGGTTTCATCTGGAATATGAGAATGATGATAATTTCATGGGTTGTTGTATGAATGAAATGATAATGTTAAAAAACATGGTGTCTGGAACAGTTGCGATGTTGACACGTCTGAGTGCTTTTACAAAAGCTGCATACCTGGATTTTAAGTGGTTTCTTACACTGCTAAACTCTGCTACAGGCTAAGCATCCCTAACCTGAAAATCCAAACTGAAATACTCCAAAATCCCAAACTTCTTGCGTGCCAGTGATGCCACAGAGGATAATTCTACCCCTGACCTTATGTGATAGGTCATAGTCAAAATGCTGTACTATATAAATATTGTATAAAATTTTACTTCCAGGCTATGTGTATAAGGTATATATGAAACATAAATGAATTTTATGTTTAGACTTAGGTCCCATCTCCAAGGCATCTCATTACATATATGCGAATATTATCAAATCCAAAAAAATCCAAAGTCAGAAACACTTCTGGTCCTAGGCATTTCCGATAGGGGATACTCAACCTGTCTTTTGTTTGTTTGTTCTTGGAGAGATCTTTGCTGTAAGGCATGTGGGCTTGCCAGAGAGACAGAGAGAGAGTGAGAAATCACCCCTCGGGGGGATCACCACACTGGAGTCCCTTCTCTTCCATTTTCCTCTTGGGATTTTGGGCATGCATGCTCATGTACCTGGTATGAGTCTTAAACTACCAGGTCCGGGACTCCAACCATGGTCAGTTGTGGGAGTCTAGCACCTTGGCCACTATGCCAGCTGCTGGCTTTCTCAACCTGTATTAAGTATTTACGTTTGTCCCCTTTTTGTATCAGGACTAGCACTGAACTAGCACATTTCTTTC